GCAGGAGGTTATTTGTTAATGTTGCCTTGTGTTTCTGTTTTTCTGAGGGATTTCTGCATTAGTTTCCTACCTTCCACATACCTCAACCATGTCCTTAAAACTATTTATACCTACTGCAACATGATATTTGACCATTGTAGAGGAACCAAAGAAGTTGCCTGTGTCTTTTCATCAGGTGGTTAATTTATTTACAGTATTCAGCCAAATTAAAATGGTCTTTACCATCTTCTCTTCTATTTGCCCATGGCCTGGGGTCAGGCTAAATTCCTGTGTAGATGCTGTATCTTTCCCAGCCTCAAACAGGAGTAGGATTCATTTGGGATCAATATTAGTCACCTAGAGTGCACATTGTTTGGCTGTAACTGTTACAGTTATCCCTCAAGGGTATCAGGATATTCTTAGGCAGGAGCGTGGTGGATGCTGTTTTATTCCCTCCACATTAGCAGGCAATGAGCCACTTTTAAAGTTCCTTGAACACCTCAAGAAGTCTCTTTGAATTAACGTGCAGCCAGGAAGCTGCAGTGGTAGTATTTGTAAAGCAAACCATAGCATTCTTTATTGAACAGTTCAGGAAGGACTGAACTCAGAGCTCAGGTACATATCAGCAACTGAATGCAACAATGGACACTAGCATTCAACAGCTTTTTACACAGATCATACTCAAACAGTACCTTTAAAGGAGCTTAAGCTTATAGGGTTTGTGTGCAAGTAATGATTTGTTCACACAGATCCTAAGCTACTTAGATTCAGCTTCTCTCTGAGGACAACAGCCCTGTAGTTAGGCACAGTTAGCCAGTGGATCTGTCCTTAAAGACGGAGAAAAGCTGATGGTGGGCCTGACTTTCTGATTTGGAGAGTTTTACATTATAAGTTAGTTTTGTGCTGTTTTGTTTGCATAAAGTACAGTGGTAGCTACAAACAACTGGATCAGTTGTAAGGTGACAGTGAAAACACCACAGAGGGAAGCACATCTGGGTGGGTTGCACTGCTACAGCCATGGTAACTTAATGAACTCTGTTGTTCACTTTCCTAGTTTCACAGATAAAAGTTAGTGTCCTCAAACCACACAGCTACCTGTAGCCTAGAGAATGATGAAGTACAGTGAGACAAACCTTATTACAACTACAGAACCAGAAACTGGCATGGAAGGAAAATACAAGCTACACTTTTATTTGGTAACAGTAGTTTGTGTACTTAGGTACTAGAGGATGCACAAATCCTAAAGGCACTCGGTAACAGTACTCTGAAGCAGAAGAAAATTTTCCTGAGCTATACTGATCCAGCAGCTTGTTATTTAGAAATACCAGAACAGAGACTGAGTGGTTTTACCTCATGGCTGCCTCATTTTACCAGTCTTAACAATGCAGGACTATACTCATTGACACATCTGACTGCCACTTCAGAGCAGGTCCAAGAATACTTTAGAAACGAATGCTGCAAGATTAGTCCCTTGGTCTAGGAAAATGTGAAATTCCCATTGGAATTCTGGTTGGTAGCACCTTGGTTTGCACTCTACATTCACCAGGACAGAAGTACAGAGTTCAGGTTATCTAACAGGAAATGGCAACATTTTCAGGTGTGGTATTGGAGGTCTAAAACACAGGGAAATACCTCCTGGTCAAAAGTATTGATCATAACAGCATCTAGAGAGCTTTGTATCTACTGACTGTAACATCTGGTGATGTCTGGGACACAGTGAAATTCCTCATCAAACTGTTTTCTTGGAAAGCTTAATCTGTCTTCCCAAAGCCAGAGAGGCTGTGCTTCATCCAGCATTCCGCTAACTGCTGCATCGCTTGTCCTCCACCTATTTAATCAGTCATTATGGTTTTGAACCTGTTCAGGAGCTTGATGAGATTAAATTCTGAAGACATGGATATGAAGATGAGCAGCAATCTGTAGGCACACACCCGTGGCATATCTCAGCATATCAAACAAGGATATAAACTTCAAAAGAACAAAACAGAACAGGTTAAAAAAAATCCATTTTTTTCAGCTGTCCCTACTATAAATATGCTATGCTTTAACTAGAATCTAGCCAAGTAACAAGTGTAACAGCCATTTTAAGTGTCCTGGGTTGCAGTGTGGGGGTAGCCAATGGTGTGTATTCTATTGTAGTCTCCACAGGCTGTTAAAGAGGTGGGGGCAGTGATCGTTATCTCCTGCTCACCCCTGATGGCTCCCTCAGGGGCTATCTCTGTTCAATGGGCTGTCAGGGACCCAGGCATGACCCACAGAATTACATCGTCCCACTGGGAGATGCTTCACCCCAAGGGGGCGAGCCAAGCATTCCCACATGGGTGGGGAGCCAAGCATTCCCACAGGGATATAAGCTGGGGTTTGGACCAGCACAGGAGCCCTTTGCCTGCTGGATTCCCAGAGGACAAGAGCTGCCACTGGACCTTCGGGAGAGGACAGGATCTGTGGGATCACTGCTCCAACAGACCCATCACCCCAGGAGGACTGCAGCCACCATTTCATCGGACTACTACCAACACTCTGACTGACAGGGTGTCAGGTTGCTTTCTGACTCTGTCAGTGGTTTCTTTTTGTACTGTTGCATTTGTTGTTTTGGTTTTCCTATCGTATTTCTGACTTGGAGTCTCTCACCGGTTTGCTTTCAAACCAGCACACAGAGCTACAGAGTAGTCTAGTTAAAAAGAAAAAATAAAACCACCACAAAAGCCCAACTCCCACTTAAACACTGACGAAGTCTGATAGACAAAAGTTAGTCTGCAGTTTGCAGAACAGCTTAAGAAAACACCCCACAAGGACTAAAGCATAATTCCAAGAGAGACTGGTCAATTACCCCAGACACATATGTACATGGTACCCAGGCACTCCCTCCACAGTGACAGTTGAAATGGGAGTGAGTCAAAAATGGCAGAGCAGAATGACAGGGACAACTCTCAATCCGTTCCTTTAAGTATGGTCCAGATGAAAAGCATAAACCACTCACCATTGCTATCCACAGGACAATGTATTCATCAATGAAGCCGTTGAAGTACTGGTTTAGAAACAGGAGTCCTGGCCCGATGAATGCTGTGTCCTGAACGCAGATTTCACTTTTTGTCATGTGAGCCACCTGGGCAAGCAAAAGACACACAAATGCATCACTCCCAGGTCAGTGTAACCCCCAGCAAAGGGGCAAGGCACACCTACCCATCAATGCTCTCCTCTCTACCAGTGCACTTCAGCTCTCTGCAGGGCTGCCACTCTCCAGTTTTTTATTTGAAGGGTAAGACCATGCACCTGTATTCCTGAAAACAGATACTATCCAACTGAAATGTTGCTTTCAAGTCTAACTTGAACATTTTGGCTTTCCCTAGCCAAAAGCTAATGAGGAACTAGACTTCTGCTAAGTCACAAGACTTGTTCTCACTGTCTAGCAAAGACAGTGATGTAAACATAAAGGCAGTTTACAGAACGACCAAGAGAAGGCTGCTGGTGGCAGAGGGAGACAATCGGTCCCCACACACACCTTTTTCCCCTCCATATTTAGCACTCTTGGAAACAAGCTCACCTTTAACTGAAGATCTGTCCATGGAGCAGATTATCCTTAGAGCTACACTCAAAGCACCAAGGGAAACATGCTCAAAAGTGTCCACGAATGAGGACACACACACACACACAGGGGGATGGCTGCTGGTTACAGGGACCCCTGAATGGGCAAGGGAGCCAAGTGTTTGACAGGACACATGGACTGCCTCAGGACACGTAAGCTTACCAGCATTCCCTCTTTTGAACTGGGGTAGCGGCTCACTAGGTGGACATCTATTTAGTCTGCAGAATACCTATTTTCTAGGGCTTGAAAAATGTCATGCTGGGAGAAAAAATAACCAGGTGTCTGAACTACTATTGTTAGCAAATATGTAGAAAAGCAGACTATTCTATTTTTTAACCTACTGATGTGGGTTTACATATAGAAAAGATAAAGACAGGAAAGTTTCTCCATTTTAATGATTAAATTCCCATTTCATACCATTAAGTCACAGCACAGCTGAAAAGGCTTGAAGCACCACAGGCTTCAAGACAAACAGGGTAAGTCTAGGAGTCAGTTAAACAAAACTGTAAGTTCTAAGCAATAGACTCAGAGTAAGTATGTGTTTGCATCAGTAACATATATAACCAGTCTGTGGCACCCTGCACCTGGTTCAGTGTCTTGCTCAGAATGAAACAGTGGCAGAGCACAATGGGAAAACTTGCACAGTGCCTGCTGATCCAGCAGGGGTTATAGAATCATAGAATCAGGAGGGTTGGAAAAGACCTCCAAGATCATCAAGTCCAACTCTACTGTGACTACTATACCATGGCACTAAGACTCATCTTGAAAACCTCCAGGGATGGTGAATCCACCACCTCCCTGGGCAGCACATTCCAATGCCTGATTACTCTCTCCATAAAAAAACACTTCATAAAATATCCAACCTAAACCTCCCCTGGCTGAGCTTGAGTCTGTGCCCTCTTGTCCTCCTGCTGGTTGCCTGGGAGAAGAGACCAACCCCCACCTGACTCCAACCTCCTGTCAGGGAGTTGTAGAGGGTGAGAAGGGCTCCTCTGAGACTCCTCTTCTCCAGGCTAAACAACCTCAGCTCCCTCAGCCTCTCCTCATGGGACTTGTGCTTGAGTCCCTTCACCAGCCTCGTTGCTCTTCTCTGGACCTGCTTCAGCACCTCAATATCCCTCCTGAACTGAGGGGCCCAGAACTGAGCACAGGATTCAAGGCATGGCCTCACCAGCTTCAGTTTTCAGGAGGTTTAAGACTGAAACAAAATTCCTTACCACCAACTTCTGTGAGATTTTGGCATTCACAAAGCCGAACGTCAGGACATACAGGCAGGAATGTTTCTCAAACAGCTGAGTTGTAGACTTCTTATAGATTGCCACAGCCAGTGCCATGAGCAGTCCAATGTGCAGGCCTGGGGAAAGGACGCTTGTACCCTGAAACGCACGTGCACAGGAGATTTGTCTCAGGCTTCAGTCACACAGTAAGGTCCAGACACATATTTTATACATCCTGCAAATCCCATTAAACAAACCAAAGGCGTCCAAGCTCAGCAAAGTCCATTAGCATTACAGCACTGCTGTTAGTATCCTTTGCAGTGAGCACACTCATCAATGTTGTGAGAACACTCACTGCTGGTTCCCATGCCAGAAGAAATCCAGTAATAGGCAGGGAAAAAGTAGATAATGATGTGTTTGCTTTAGTTACACCACACTTACATGCCTGTCTGCTTCAATGCTTAAACAAATAAAACTCTTATGATCACCTGAAATAAACCATAGAATTTTAGGGGTTGGAATAGAGCTTAGAGACCATCCAGCTTCAGCCCCCTGCCCTGGGCAGGAACACCTCCCACCAGAGCAGGTTGCTCAAGGCTCCATCTCACCTGGCCTTGAACATTGCCAGGGATAAATGATAGGCATGAACTACTCAAACCTCATTCAGATTTTTAGAACAACTTACTGCTATGGTAGATCCATTCTTTCCAACCCCTCCTCCAAAGATGACACGGAAGTAGTTGAAGAAAGAAAGTCCAGTTCCACAAAGGATGCCAATAACAGCAAAGAACTTCAGTTCTAAGCCCACCAAAGGGACCTGAGCAGAACGAAAACACAAAACAAAACAAACCACAACAAAACCAGAGAGATATTAAAAGTTAAGGATAACACCTTTGAAAAGGTGATTAAAGAAGCCACTCATGCCTGCTAAACAAATGTTTTAGTTGAACTCTCACATTCCTGGGAATAAGCTCAGAAGGAGTGTTTGGAACCTGCTTCTTCACCGAAGAAACAAGGAATATCTTTTGTCATTTTTAAGTTCTACTTTTGAGTATTTAAATTCTGGTCTTGAAATTCAGATAGATCTCACCATGATCCTCAAACATCTTTACTCCATAAGCAAAACCTTGACAGAGACTATTGCATTTCCATGGGATGGGAGGGGGAAGGAGGAGAGTTCCTTCTATACAACAGTGAGGCACAGGAAACACAAACACCATCTGCCTGCTGTGTGTTTTGGGACCTAACTCCAATACTGTATCTTTGCACTTCATGAATAGTCTCCAGTCACGAATGTCAATTAAACAGTTACCTCTTGGAATCAATTCCAGTTTCAAGGAAACTTCCAAAGGCAGCAGAGGGTTAAAAGAAGAACTAGCAATAAATTGAAACCACTGACTATATTTCTGAATACAGAGTGTTTTGAGATACAGCATAGCTACAACAGATTTTAATCCTGAGGAGAGATCAAACATGATCAAAGTCTAATGTACCCACTTTATTTTCCAACATGAAAATAAGCTTTTTGAAAACAGGACAAAACAAAGCATCTTGCAGGATGGGGAAAGAAAATGAAGTTTGGCTAAACATTTCTTAAATATTGAGTAAACTTGTGAATTCATTTTAGTTTCTTGGTGGTTCATACTTAGGTTAATTTGTATTGGTTACCAACAGCATGGAATGGTCTCAGCTCTTCCTTGTGCTCTGACCAAGCACAATGATAAATGTTGAGTAAAGACCCTAAAAAGGGTGAAGATCTCAGTCTAATATACTTTTGACACTGTCCACTAAAATGCGTCTTTAAAGATTAGGATAAAAGTTAGAGACATGGAAGTGCTTTGAGACAGAAAACAACTCTTTAAATACAGATGTTTATGTTTATGTGGCTGTGACACCACAGTTAAAAAAATCAGTACATCTGCATGAACACAGACATATACCTTACTAAACCAAACCCCTGACTTCATCCTGTGGTTTTGTTAAATTTTATAATAAACCATTTAACTGGACAGAAATGTATGTCTTACAATAAAAAATACAAAACCAGAGCAAAAACTGTTTGCTAAAGCTTAAGTGTCTGCAGAGTGTTAGTTCCAGATCAGAAGTTTCTGTGGCAGATGGTGTCATTTTTCCTCTAGGCAGCTCTACAATTGTGCACAGAAGTCACACCATTATATCTAAGCTTACTACAGCATTGACATAACCTACATTCATACAACAAGCGAAATCAGAACATAGAATCATAGAATTTAGGGGTTGGAATGGACCTTACAGATCACCTAGTCCCAACTCCCTGCCCTGGGCCCAGATACCCCCCTCACTAGATCAGACAACTGGTGGTGTCAGTGGTACTTGCCCAGGACAACCTCAAACCCCACAGGGACTGTGAACACCTACAGGAGCTGAATGCTCACCAGAACTCTGAGCACTTAACACACTGACCCTGTAGTCCCACACTGCTGTTCCTCCATATGCAGACACCAAGAGCAGCATTGTTATGGCAATCTGAACTTCAGTGACATCAATTCTGTGAGGGGGAAAAAAAAAGGATATTTGGTTGAAGAGAAGGACTTTATTTGCTCTAAGTGTAAAGCAGGGAAGGGAACAAAACCTCAGGAACTGTACTTCAAATGACATCAATGTACACAGAACATTACTTTGCCAAATACATTGTTAACTGTTAATTCTGTATAAGTGTACAGACTTGTTGATGTGTAAGTGTAAAATCAAAGCTGAAGGCTGGCTCAGGTAAATGCAACCAAACATCTTCATGAGAAGCACAGCATGTAAAAGCAGAGACTGTAAAGAGCAGTCTGGGACAGAAGGATTTCTTCTAGTCAGCAGATCATGCAAACTGGACACATACAGCTCACACAGCATCAGGGCAGGATTTTGGGGACTGAGACAGTGGATACCTGAGCATCTCTCCTGCTTCTGAGGGCATGTCACTGACATCTGGCTTTTATCCATAAAGACCGTTTCAAAAGGTGGCCTGGTGTGCCCTCTAAAGTCTGGAATCTTCATTCCACCCAGGGACGTGGTAGCTGCCCTGACCCTGGCAGTGTTCAAGGCCAGGCTGGATGAGGCCTTGAGCAACCTGATCTAGTGAGGAGGTGTCCCTGCCCATGACAGGGCGTTGGGACTAGATGATCCGTAAAGTCCATTCCAACCTCTAAATTCTATGATTCTATGATAAGTACAACATTTCTTTAAGCAGTTAGGACAAATTTCCTGCTTTAGGGTATTATGACCAAAGTCAACACATGTTGTTACTTGCTCAGCACATGAACTGTTTGCACAGGAAATAGTACATCTTTAAAGGGAGACAGGAATCAACTCTTGACTGATGGAAAACATTTCTCTGAACTTGGTAATCACAGTAACATTAAACCCTTCTTTCATCAGAAAAATGGTGATAAAATATCCTCAGTCTCATCACAATCTTCAGACTCTTAGTTTTAGAAGAGTCAAAGTAAAAACTGCAGCTGGATGAGAAGCTGAGGTGCTCATCACCACTTAGAGCCCTCAGAATGTCCGTGCTCTCCTTCCTACCCTGCTGCACTCCTCACTTGTACTGGCTGCAGTGCTCCTCGGCCTGCGAGGTGAGCCAGTTCAGCTCACCAATCTGGTGGAGGCTTCTCCTCTTGAATTGGCTTGAAGTCAAATAAATGACACAGTCTGCCACGGGCCAGTGGTGCTGGCAGTGAGCTCTTCCCTCTCTGCCAGGGATGAAGTGTTACACGTGCCCAGTCATTGTTGCAGGTGTTGGTTACGTCATGCAGAAGTGTCCATGTGCAAGTGCAAGAATTCAGAGGTTGCACAGACTTCTAATCTCTACTGCCTTTGTTGCTGCTGGTGGTGGGAGGAGGCTCCAGCTTGAAGCTGAGTCATTATATGTGTCAAAGTTTAATACTTAGTTTTACAGAGGCTCAGACTGTTGGTTGCAACACAGCTCAAATCAGAGTCCAAAGATTCTGAGACACTGTGCAGTATTCCACACACCCTGACAGTGTCACAGTATCCAGCTGCTCTGATCCTTCCTGGTCATCAGCACTAGGAATCTCTCATCTGTGATGTGGCTCATCTCATCAAGTTCTGCTACTTCAGGAACAGCATCAGTGAAAGCTTCCAACTATGTTACTGTGCGTTATCATGTTTAGAGCAACATACTACTGCCTTCAGTTAGACTCACACCTCTGTGCTTGAGAGACATAAAACTGCAAGCCTTGAAAAAGCTCTGACACGTTTTCACTGAACAGAAGTCAGTTATCTTGGAGAAAAGTTGTGTCTGTTTAACTCCAAACAGTAACCATGGAACACCAGGCCATTCAGAACTGTTTGTACACGCAGGATCACTATGTTTAACTAGAAGTCACTAAGTTTCTACTGAAGAACTTTTCATGGGGTACAGGAGTCTCAGTGCCTCCCTGATATGGGGAAATCATTCTCAAGCTTTGTGCAAGAACAAAAGGCACAGAAAAACACTCATGTCTGCAAAATGCCAGAGCTCGTGGCACAATCCATCTGCCCTTAGTGCAGACCCCTGGCATGCACAGAAATTACTTCATTTCAGCCATCACTCTAAAGAACCTATTTTTGCTTACAGCACAAGACGTCCCTTGAAAAAATAGGATGTGCAGGCAGAAGAATTACAGTCTGTGTGGTAAAATGTCTTATCAGCAAACCAAAAAGAGCTCTCAGCAAGCATCACACGAGTGCCTGCACTTGGTGCAGACACAGACAGGATGTGAGGGAGCTGCTCTCCAGCCTGTGAGCCTAGCGATGCTCAGCTTGCTATGGTGCCTCTCACACTAAGTCCAAGCTGAGTACGACTCTGAGAGGTGACTTAGCCTGTGACTAGGGTTAGCAGGACAGCCCTCGTCTGTCACTTATTGCCAGTTTTGCTGCTACACAAGTCTCTGATCTTTTCCTCTTCTCAGAAATGATTACTGAAGCGCAGCTCATTGCTTAAAAACAGCAAAAGGCCATGGCTAGGCACCACCACAGCTATGGGAGGGTGCAGCAACCTATGAACACTCATCTAATAACACTATGATCAGTTAAACTGAAATTATTAACTTGTACATGAATCATAGAATCATAGAATTTTAGGGGTTGGAATGGACCTTACAGATCATCTAGTCCCAACCCCCTGCCCTGGGCAGGGACACCTCCTCACTAGATCAGGTTGCTTAAGGCTTCATCCAACCTGGCCTTGAACACTGCCAGGGTTGGGGCAGCCACAGCCTCCTTGGGCAGCCTGTGCCAGTGTCTCACCACCCTCACAGGAAAAATCTTTTTTCTAATATCTAGCCTAAACTTCCCCTCCTTTACTTCAAAACCATCTCCCTTTGTCCTATCATTGCAGCTCCTTACACAGAGTCCCTCTCCAGCTCCCTTGTAGGCCCTTCAGAAACTGAGAAGTTGCTATGAGGTCTCCATGCAGTCTTCTCCAGGCTGAGCAGCCCCAACTTCCTCAGCCTGTCATGACACTTCCTGCAGTGAAACAGCTGAAATCTCTATCAAGGCATCAACAGCAATTTCTAGGACCGTGACCTACCACAAAACCTAAAGGACATCACAGTCAGTCTGAGCCAGATAAAAGCAAGCCCCACAATAAATATGGGGCAACTCCTCAAGCATTGCCATAGCTCTGCACATCTCCTCGCTGGCAGATGAAATGCATGCAGCGAGTTCATTCCAAGGAAGGCTGAAGATGTCTATGGAAGGGAAACCCATTAGCAGGAGAATTTCTCTAGAAATGCATGTGGTTCAGAATCCCTTGGGGCTGGAACTGTTCTGTGGCTGGGAGATTACACAAGGAGGTGTTGCAGATGCCTCCTCTGTCCTTACTCCTACGCAGAGCATTCTGCAGTGTAAACAAGACTTTCTGGCCTGAGCCTGCACGGTACTTGTTTGGGGTCAGAGAACAAGTCTGCAGGCAAAAGAGCCAAATGTATGCAAGCAAAGCACAAATAGCTAAATCAGCTGCTAGAAGAACAAGTCCTCAGCATTATGCAGAGTTTCAAGTTCTTGCCAGGTAAAACACAAGCCCGCTAGAGTGAAAGGGAGATGAGAAAGCAGGTGAGAGAAAGCGCAAGCAGGGAGTAAACCATGAAGAAACAGAAACCAAGGAGCTAGCAGTGTCACACATTAAGCCACAGTACTTCCAAAGACACCTACTTACTTTCCAAACCTTAGGATGCCTGATACATATGTCTGCCAGTGAGCAGAATAGAACATGAACAGCCCCACAAAACAACAGAAAAATAACCAGTCAGGATGCGTTCCTAGGCGGATTGCTATGCAGGATCCAAGGACAACAAAAACTGAAAAGCAGAAATGAACATATTAGTCACATACCCTTTTTGCTTGACCTTAAGAAAAATCACAAAAAAGATAAAAATAAATGCTAATAATAAAAAAATCAAAGAAATCTCAAGGCACTTTATACCACTCTAAGGCAGGAAAGCTCTGACTGATACTTTACTGAGTAGCTAACCCCAGGGACAGTCTCGGCAGTAGAGACCAAAACACAGCACTCCTTTGCTTCCAAGTGAGGGCCTCACCTAGCCTACAGTGGCTGTTCTCCCTTCTTCTGGCCTTGCCATTTTGTGCTCTCTTGCAGCACTGACAACTTCAGCTGCAGAGCCCAGCCCAGGGAGACTGGCAGCTGTTCCTCTCTGGGAACTGAGGCTCAAAGAACCTACCAACTCCCAGGATAACTGTCTCATCTACTCAACTTTATGGATGAAGTACTGACATTGGCACCCAATAACAGCTACATTATGGGAAGTGAAAATGAGCAAGGCTTACTTTTTAAGGACTCCCAACTTTTCTTGAACCTCATTCTTCTAAGAAGTATAAACCAACCTTCTCCAAAGTGCCAGGCTGGATACCCTATTACCAACTCCTAAAGTGGAATCCTTAGCTTCACATGCCAGCATCAGTCTCCTAGGCCCTTAAACTACTTTATTAGGTATCCCTTGTACCCTACTGGAAAACACAGGCTGTGTATAGTAAAACATCTCTAAGCATGCTCTTAGAGAATTCTATGTTCCCCATCTAGCTCCTTCAAAGGACACTGCAGATGAGGGTGCACAGCAAGTAAAGCAGAATGCATGTTCCCCAACATTTGCCAAAAGAGCTTCTGAAACACTGCCCCTCATCCTGGTGAGTGATGCAAAGGTCAGGGTCAGCCTTGGCTGCACTGCCCAGGAGATGGTGAGGTTATCCCAACAATGGGAACATGCTGCCAGTGTTCTGAGGACCTGTGATATCCACTCGTCCTTTCCAGCTTTAACAAAGTAACCAGCTCCTCTTGAAACAAGTAACTCTCATACAAGCAATAAGGGTAACAGTAGGTTAAGGCTACCTGTGGAAACAGAGTCGCAACCATGATCAAAGAGCTCTCCTAGAGGAGAACTACTGTTTGTTCTTCTGGCTTGCTTCCCATCAATGGCATCCAGAGACTGGTAGACGAAAAGCCCTAGTGCACCCAGGATGTATGCCCAAAACGGTGCCTGAAAGAGATGCACACAAAAGGTCACTAGGTAGTTCTCAGTTTCTTTGCTGATAAGCTGCTTCATTAAAGGTAAAACAATTTTCAGCACAAAACTATCCTACGCTGTGCTATTTGTTACTTAGTTTGTTGATAAACCAAGTTTCCTGGGCTAGTTTCTACTTGAATTGTAGTGACTACTGATATGAGCTACTCCAGATACTCCAGTGGGACATAGGTCCTTCTGTTATTTTAAACCCCCAAACTTTAGCCTCTCTTCTTCATCAACTGACATATTTTTCTACCTTAAACCCACAGTATTTCTATCATAATTTGCATTCTTTGTGTTGAAAAGTATTATAAAATCAAACTAGTCTGAAAAGCTGTAGCAAGGCCCTTACTAAAGCTCCCAGCAGTTACATGACAGATGCTTAGATGACCTGCTGAAAAGCTGTAGCAAGGCCCTTACTAAAGCTCCCAGCAGTTACATGACAGATGCTTAGATTTTCACAGTTTTACAACATGTGAAAATCCACTACCTTTTACTGAATAAAGGCTTCAGTTTTCAGGGAAAGATCTTTTTTCCAACATACAAAAATTGACTACATAGCCATTTTGGACACAGTTTAAAGAAATGAAGTCATTCAGTAAACATAAAGGAACAATTATCTAATATCAGAGTCAAAACAAGCTGTGAATCAGTTACACTACCCCCAGTGTCAGGCTCAAAGGAACAGTTCTGCAGTCACTGCTTTTCATACACACAGTCAGTATGGCTTTGCCCAGGAATTAGGCTTGGCTAAAAACTATTTAAAACACCTTTAAACATAGCTTTTGTCCACTTGGAACTTACAGTACAGGTATAATCATTCAGACTGCTGATCCAAGCCTCTTTGCATTAGCGCCTACTGGGGCAAATCAAACAACAGACCCTGCCAGACTGCAAAACTAAAGCACTCTGACCCTTGATGATCTGGAAAGAGGGGAAGAGTTTCCATCTTCTACCCAGTAATGATCATCTGGCACCTGTAGTGGATGTACTGCTATCCCCACGGTTGAGGAGAAGGGAAGAAGATCCTAGTAAGAGCAGGGGAACAGGTGTCAGAGAGCTCAGAAACACCATCTGGAGCATTTCATCCCTAGCCTGCCAGTTCAAATCTAACCCTAAGTGGTAATAACCAAAGTTCACTTGTGATCAGCCCTGCATTTAGCAGATTCAATGAATGCTCTAATGTTTTCATCAGCAAAATACAGTCTGCCAAATCAACAAAGGTGCATAGAGCTTTCCAAGTTTCTCTGCTATCCACTCTCTCAGTACAGCTACAGTTGCTATTTCTTCGCCTTCTCATGTGCCAGGCACTCCATCTAGGGATGTCCCCTGGCCCAAGTAGTTTGCAAATTAGAGAAGTGGGAGCATTGGAGAATGCTGACACGGCTGCCAGACAGAGCATAAAGGTCAGGAGGCTCCCAATAATCATCAGCTTTTCACTGATGAGGTGTTTATTATCTCTGCCCAAAGTTATACTCTGCCCAAACAGATGTGGTTAGTTGGCCAGGGCTGGATGCTGTTCTCACAGAACTAGAGGAGAACATGAACGTGAGGGAAGCAGAGGGAGTGGGGAAGGGAATGCTTCTCTGCTTCGATTCAAAAGGACGTCTGAAAGATGATACAGCCCCAGAATCTTGTCACACACAGATTGGATACAGCAGGTTTGGTCACCTATGGTACCAGAGGGTGTCAAAGCCAAGCCATGTGCGTGTAGTGTCTGGCAGGTCTACGTGAGATGCCTCTCCTTCCAGAAAAAAGGGGCTGAAGGGCAGCCATTCTCCTGCTCCCATGATTCCACACCACAAAAGAGCATGGCCAGCTGCAAAAGACTCCATGACTTGTTTCCCACAAAGCTCTCAAGTTCAGAGAGAGTCCAAACTTTTGCAATATTGAAAGATTCAGTCCCCCTTAATTCCTCACCGCGTTCAGCTATAATTTCACTTCCTCAACCCACAGAAAATAGTTCTCCTCTAGTTTACATGGCCCCTCTCTGGATCCAGAGGGTAGACTCAGACTACATATAAGGAAGATTTTTTTTATGATGAGGGTGGTGAAACACTGGCACAGGTTGCCCAGAGAGGTGGTGGATGCCCCAACCCTGGAAACATTCAAGGTCAGGCTGGATAGGGCGCTGAGCAACCTGATCTCTCCGTGCTCATGGCAGGGTGGTTGGACAGGATGGCCTTTAAAGATCCCTTCCCACCCAAACTGTTCTGTGACTTGAGAGAGACCTGTGGCTGAGCTTGAAGGATTATCAAAGCTAGACTCCTCCATGAGCAACCATCAAAGCAGAGGATGAAAGTTTCCTTTCTCCCTTTTAAAAACTTAGAGAATTATGTTTAGTCGGTTTTCTTTCTGTTTTTTCCCAAAATGGGGACACAAGATTCACCTGCAAAACCTAATGACCTGACTGTAGCTACTTCTGAGGAGTCTGCTGGCAGCAGAGCAGAACAGTTCCCTGACAAATGGTGGGAATAGAATGGAAATCCTCACCTAAAAAGTGCTCCTTTTCTACTCTAATGCAGCAAACACACAGTGCTCATACTTAAACTCAATTTCATTACTGAATCCTTTATAATTAGCATCAAGAAGAAAACCAAAGAACACACTGCAGGCTGCAGTCAGTGAACAAGGTATATTTCCACAGAACATGCAACGTGCAGGTGGTGCCTTCCCCACCACCACACCTGGTGTAACAGTGCCATTCATCACTGTTCTAGATCACACCCCGAAGTCACAGAGACTAGGAAACTGCAGAAACGCTTTACAAAGAAGCATATACCTGGGATTTTGGTTACAACAGTGCTCAAGGGCTGCAACTGCTAATGGCTTAGCTGCAAATAAAGCTTATGCAGCAAGGTGCATTTACAGGAGACAGGGATACAACTCACATTCCTACAAGACAAGAAGACTCCACTGGAACAGACAACGTTTCACAAAGCCAAGGCATATTGTGCTAGCCAGTAACAAACTGGCTCTCAATGGCTGATGAAGATAAAAAAGAAGAGTGTCTAGGGAAATAACAGCTCCACACCAAGAGAAGAAGAGAGCATTGTATGGCTTGAGACATGAATTGCATTGGGGTTGAGGGTAAGTAGTATGAAATTGTGGAATTCACTGCATAGAACATAATGGAATCTCAAAGTACAAACAAATTCAAAACAACTAACTCAAAAGGCAAAATCATGAGGTGGGAAGTGCCTGCAGGGAAACAGATCCATTAGTTGCTGTTCTAGCAAGTAAACTGAGTAGAATCCCTTGCCGGGAAACTCCTAAAACACAGTCTTCTGGCAGCTGGAGGGGTATACTGGAGAAAGATCATCTGTTAGCAGGTACTCTCTGAGGGATTTCAGCTACCAGTCTTATTTGTTTTGGGCAGTTTGTACAAACATCAAGACCTCTGTGTTTTCAATAAAAGCCTAACCAAAATAGTCAATATAAGACTGGTTAGGGAAGAAAACCCAACCACAGCAACCGAGTAAAAAAACCAAACAAACCTCACCTAAAACCAAAACCTGCTAGCTATTTTATCTGAAGTCTTCTATTCAGTGTTCCCACCCTTCCACAACTTCTTGTCTGTCCACCAGGTAATCAAGGCTTGTTCAGGAATGGAAGACGTGGCTTGGCCACACAGAGAGGTGACGTTGAAGTGTACTATGTTATTAGTTCAGTCTGTGATTTCGACCACCTTTAACATCATTTCCAGTTCCACCTACCCCTTCCAGCTACACAGCCGAGTCAAAACTACAAAGTAGATATTACAACAGTACATAAGAGCACCTATTAGTATTGCAAAAGTTTAGCCTTTTAAGGCAAGGCCGTCCAGAATCATGACCTCAGCTCAGGTGGAAGACAAGCTGAGTCATCAAACAAGCAGGAGAGATAAAGATGCTTCTAAGTGATGCAGCAAGAGAAAGTCACATCTATTCTCCCAGCACAGAGGCAACAAACAAAGCAACAGGATGAGTCTGGCTTCACACTGCAGATTTATAAAGGATATTTTGACAGCTGAACAAGAAAGTCTAATCCAAACTAGAGATTCTTAGAAAATTCAGCTTCCACTATTAAAAAAAACCCCAAACAGTAAAGTTTCTATAACCCAATCTAAGCTTTCCTGGGAGGAATAATTCCCTGGATGTCTGCAACACAACTTTTTTCACAAAAGTCCTCAAGGGAAAAATAACTTGCTGCTTTTATTTTTGAATAGCAGAGATTAAAAGCTAAATGAGCACTCACACACAGAGCAGGCACACAACTGATATCTTCTTCACAAAGCTAAGCTGAAGGCAGCAGTTCCACAAGCATTTTAATTCCAGAAATGCCACTGGAGGACAACCTGTGGTTTCCAACCATTCGCTCTCCACTCTGCCCTCCCTACTGCCTGCAACACCAGAGTGCCTCTGCCTGCTGATGTGTGCTGGGGAGCAACTGGGGCGAGACCAAAGCAACGTTAATTTTGATCTGGATCAGATTCCAGGTACATCTGCCACAAACACCTCTGCTGACATAAAGGGCAAAGCACCTGGAGAAAATGAAAGGTTCTTCTGACAACACTCACCAAATTAAATCTAAGTTATTAAAAAAACCCCAACCAAACACAACCTCTGCTTTGAGGATTTAAGCCCATCAGAATGCAAGAAAAACAACAGCCACCTTTAGAGATACTTTGCTCACATGAAGCAACTTCCCCCTGACACTTCCTACTGTAACTACCATGAAGTCTCTGCACTGGGAAACTCCTAACAGTCTGGGGAGCTCTGACAGAGCTCCTTAAATTGTCAGAAAGACTGTAGGCAACACAGTTCAAGCGACAGCACAGCACCAGCCCACGTAAACAAGCCTGTTTCCCCTCCAGAAGTTAAAGCAATTAGAAGTTTCCCACGAGAGGACAGGAAACATTTGAGCTACTACTGTCAGCCAACACGTGTGACACAATCGAGCCGCAGTTCTAACTACGAGATGGTGAAGAGGCA